GGATTTGGAGTTTTGCCTGCACAGGACCTTGAAATTAACTTTTCTGTGAGCAGACACCAAAAATATTCCATGGGATATTCTCAACAGCCATCAAAGACTGAAATCCTGAACTGGGATGAATGCAGTTCTCTAGAGTTACTGATTGTGACTGCCCAACTCTGTGATCAGGTGCAGAAGGAAACACAGAAGGTCACATCCATTGTGGTTTCTACCTTCAGCTCTAGTTGTTGCTTTCCAAGTTTTTTTTTGTTTGTTTTTCTTTTTTTTTCTTTTTCTTTTTCTTTTTTTTTTTTTTTTTCTGCAGTTAATGTAGTACTTACCTTAGAATAAATTATTTACAAAAGAAAGCAAACTTTTTTTTTTTCAATCGTAGAATCACCAAGGTTGGTTCCCACAGAGGCACATAAGACTTGTGCTCCACACACCTCACCAGCTTCATTGCCTTTTTCTGGACACACTCCAGGGCCTCGATGTCTTTCCTGTAGCAAGGAGCCCAAAACTGAACACAGTACTGAACCTCACCAGTGCTGAGTACAGAGGGATGATCACCTCCCTGCTTCTGCTAGCCATTGGTCTTCTTGGCCACCTGGGCACACTGCTGGCTCATGTTCCAAGTGTCAAGTGTCAACCAGTATCCTCAGGTCCATTTCCTCTACACAGTCTTCCAGTCATGCTGCCCCAAGCCTATAGGTTTGCCTGGGGTTGTTGTGGCCAAAGTGCAGGACCTGGTCCTTGGTCTTGTTAAACCTCATCCCACTGGCCTCAGCCCAGCTATCTAGCCTGTCCAGATCCCTCTGCAGGGCCTTCCTACTCTCAGGAAGATTGACACTTCCTCCCATCTTGATGCCATCTGCAAACTTACCAAGGGTGCACTCAATGCCTTCATCCAGGTCATCAATAAAGGTACTGAACAGGACAGGCCCCAGTACCCACCCCTGGGGAACACCACTTGTGACCGGTCACCAGCTGGATTTAATTCCATTCACCACCTGGTCCACCAGCCAGATTTTTACCCAGCAAAGAGTGCATCTATCCAAGCCACGGGCTGCTAGCTTCTGTAAGAGAATACTGTGGGAGACAATGTCAAAGATTTGGTGAATTCTAGATAGAATATATCAGCAGCCTTTCTGTCATCCACCAGGCAGGTCACTCAATTATAGGAGATCAGGTTGGTCAAGCAGGACCTGCCTTTCTTGGACTCATGCTGGCTGGGCCTGATCTGCCAGTTTTCCTGCATGAGCCTTGTGAGCTCACTCAAAATTATCTGCTCCATAGCTTTTCCTGGCACTGAGGTTAGGCTGATGGGCAGACAGTTACCCAGATCTTCCTTACACCTCTTCTTGTAGATGGGAGTCATGTTGGCAAGTATGTCCTTCCTCAGTATACTTTTATATGGTGTTATAAGTATATAACCTATATGGGTGATGAGTTATTTTAAACTACATTTATATTTTTCCTTCAAATATAAATTGAGGGAAAATGGATTTTTAATTGCAATAAGTATAGAGAGAGAATTAATTTCAAATATTTTATGTAAGTAAAATTTGCTCTAATTTGCAAATTACTAATGTAAAATGCTTCAGGGAGACTTCATTGTGGCCTTTGAGTATTTAAACAGAGATTATAAACAGAAGAGAAATCTTTTTACACAAGCAGACGTGATAGGACAAGGGGGAAAGGTTTTAATCTCAAAGAGAGGAGACTTATGTTAGGCATTAGGAAGAAGTTCTTTACTGAGTGCAGTGAGGCACTGGCACAGGCTGCCCAGAGAAGCTGTGGTACACCATTCCTGGAAGTGTCCAAGACCAAGCTGGATGGGGTACAAGACAGCCTGAACAGCTGGCGGACAACCATCCCATGGCAGAGATTGGAACTGGATTGGCCTTAATGCCTCTTCCAACTCAAGCCATTCTATGACTCAATGATTATTAGCATAAGCTTCTTTTAGGATAGTTGAGGAAGTAGGCACTCTTGAAAGTGATCTTTCATTTTTAATGTACAGTGATAAATTGTAAAATAACTCCACAAAGACTTCAGATTTGCTTCCTATGAATATGCAGAATGATAGCTGCTCAGTTCTGTGGTTAAGCAATTGGTTATGATGTTTCACTGAGCTAAAACAATATTAGGAATTTGATAAAAATTTTGGACTATTTTGATTTAAGTTATAAGCGGTAAAACAAGACTGATCAATTCACTTCTAAGACTAATTTATGTGCAAGTCAGACAACAAATTTTGAGTATTCAGAGAAGTCAGAAAAAGCCACATTGTCAATGAAGAAAACTTGATGTCCGTTCCTACAAGTTTTTAAGACTCTTGAAACTTCTTATGTCCTCTGGGACAAGTTTCATGTATATTAAGTATATTATTTTATATTATATAGGTATATCAGGTATATTAGTTCTTTCTTCAGGACAGTAATCTGGAGGTTATAAGCAAAAACAGTACATACAAAAATCATAACTGCCAGACTTACAAAACTGTGTTCAAAGAACCTACATTTTAGTGACTGATACTTTTAGCCGTTTTTATGACCAGGCTAAAGTTGTTCCACTGAAGATTCTGAATTTACCTGTAAAATAATCATAGGTCCCAATTGTTTAACTGCTACTGGTAGTGAATTAAGTAAACCCATAGATCTGTAAAGTAGAGAAAAGATTTACATCTCTCACGTATCTGTTCAGACTTTTCAGTGTTCATCAGGCTACTAGTGTACAAGGCCTCGAATAATGTGCTTCAGAAATCATTAGGAATTAGCTGGTTAACATGAATGAAACTAGGAGAATCATCACATTTGTTATGTTGCCGCAACTTACATGGCAAGCAAGTAAAACAATTAAAATATGATGCTTCATTGAAGTTTTTCTGTATGTGTAAAAAAAGGACTTTGTTTAAGATCTTTACATCTTTGCTAGCAGTGCATTTGTTGCACAAATTAACTACAACAGAATATTGTTCACACAAACTGGAGTGTGACAGCAGCCTTCTTTCCTATTTTAATACCTGAAATCAAAATAAAAGCTGATTGGCTTCTTGCTTCTCCTCTGTGAGTGCTACTAAGAGTAATGCGCATTTCAGAACTAATGATAACTTTATTCATTGTGTGCATGCACAAAGACCCCAAATCTGATTTTGAGATAATGCAAATCACACTGTGTAAGTGACTGCAATGATGCGAGGTATAATGCACTCTATAACCCGATCTGTACGGTCACTGTTACCTAAAAAAGGTGAAACCCGGTATAAATTTGAGCTGAGTGGAAAGAAAGTTCAAAATCATAATTTCATTATATGAACTGTATAAATATGAACTATAGCTACACTAATGTTGGGATTGAGATTACCTATCTTTGACGGAACTGTGTTTACATATGAGCTACCTGATCTCAGTTACAATCAATGAAGACATTGTGAGGTCTGTCAGTCAGTTCCTCTGACCAATAAGGAAAGCTATTCCAAGATAAAATGAACTATTTCCTAGACCTCCATGGACTGCAGTGGGAATTTAGAAACTTGAATGTGTACCAACAGCTACACAGGAGAAATCCCAAATTAGGCACAATAAATCCTGATATAACTACCCAAACTTTACTAGTTTGAACTAGTAAATAAATATTCCACAGTCAATGAGACCAGCATCACCTTGGAGCAATTCATCACATCTTTGGATGCATGATTATCAAAGATTAAAGGGATCCTATCTCTGCTGATAGATATTCTCTGCATAGGGAAGGTTGAAGCTTACATTAGATTAAACAACAAAGGTGGATTTTATTCAAGACTAGATGTCCACATATGAGGCAAGTATCTCAGCTGCCATTACAGTTAAAAGGGTTTTTTCATTCAGTCACTCACTAGTGTCTACTGTGACTTGAAGCAATCTGAGCTATCATGCCTGGTGTCCAATTGCTATTCCAGATTACTACAGGACATACGCCACAATTTCCAGCCTGTTGAAAATGTGGCAATTATGTTAAAGTGCATCAAGTTACTTTAGTTGTATATTTTGAGGTAAATAAATGGAGCACAATGGAAATTCAATTTTCTCTAAAAGAAAGAATTTTACCTGAAGTACATATGTAAGAAAAAAAATATATTATATTACATTATCATGAAATAGAGAAATACAGCGTATGCATGTAAAAAGAAACGGGTCAGGAAAGGCTTTGATATTAATATTTACTTTCACACCAATGCTCTTCTTTCCAATTTATAAGTGTGATTCATAGACACTCCTACTGCCACCAGTATTTGCACAGAAATCTGATATTTGCCTTATGTATGGAAAACATAGTATCTGATGCACCTTCTCTTAGAATCACAGAATGGTGGAAGTGGAAAAGGACCTCTAGGTCCATCTGATGCAACTGCATCTCAAGCAGGGACGCACTGGGCAGGGTGCCCAGGAACATCTCCAAGCAGCTCTGGAAAATCTCCAAGGAAGAGACCCCACAGCCTCTGTGGGAAACCTGTGCCAGTGCTCCATTGTCTGCACAGCACAGAAGTTCATCCTGGTGTTTGGAGCAAACCTCCTGTGTTCCAGTGTGTGCCCATTGCCTCTTGTATTTGCAATGGGCACCACTGATGAGATTTTGGCTCTGTATCATTGAACATAAAATGTCACTCTGGAGCCTTGATGAGCTGCTGTGCCCATAGACCAGTACCCTTGCTGAATCTTGTGAGAACCGAATCCTGACCTTGAATAAAGCCAGGTTCCTACAGGAATAAAAAAGTGCTTCAAGTGCCTTGAAGTTGAATTCAACTCTCAAAAACAAAATAGTTTGTGCTCATCTGCTGCTTAAATTTTGAAATGTATTTTCAATTGATATCTTGTATAAATTATGAATTATGAGCAGTGTGCTTTACCAAGAAGACAGTATTCCAGTCACAAAGTACCATTCAAGCGGAAGGTCCCCCAGAGTCAGCAAGAATGACTAGAACATTGCAGCTCTATCATTGGAGTTTTCTGTAACAAACTTTTGCATTAACCATCACCCCTTTACAAGGTATCAGTTTTTATTTGGTCATTGTTGTTTAAAGCAGGAGAGGGCTTGCTTTTCTGTCCATCAGTTCCTCCTTTGGATGTGTCCTGGAAGAAAAGCCTTGGCATCCACAGTGACATTAAAATACGTTTGTATTCATTCCGAAAATTCTGGTTAAGAAGTCCATATATTATTGCATTAAGGCAGCTGTTGAAATAGGCCATGAAGTAGCTTACAATGAATAACCATTCAGGAACTTTTGGTGCCATTTCTGAAGGATTGATGGCTACAGCCAGTCCTATGAAGTTTAGAGGCGCCCAGCAAAAGGCAAAAATCACAAAAACCACAAACATGGTAAGAAAGTTTCTGAAGTCACTTGGTTTCAGTCTTGGCTTTGTTTCTGACTTGACTCGTCTTCTAACTTGAAGCACTAAGACCCAAATTCGAAGGTAGCAGAAGCTCACGACAGTGATAGGGACAATGAAATGAATTACCACAACTGCAATTGTATAGTAGGAGCTTGCAGTCTGAACAAATGTGCATGAATAGATGCGTGGATCATACTTCAAGGAGCCGACAAAAAAATTGGGCACAGTTGCAATTACTGTTAATACCCAGATTAAGGAGACATAGAGCATTGTGTTCCAACAGCTATACACTTTGTCATAGGCAAAGCTATGACATATATAGCAATATCGATTAATTGCAATTGCAGTGATGTTGAAAATAGAGCCTATTACACTTAGTCCCATCACAAAGCCACTGACTTTACAGTGCATTTCACCCAAAGTCCATCCATTGTGGAAAATAGCTAAGAGCACCAGTGGGTATGGATACAAGGCCACCACAAGATCAGCCAAAGCCAGGCTCACCACAAATGCATTACCTGAGGAAAAAGAGAGACATATAGACATAAGTCTGAAAGCAAGCATAGTTGTGAACATGAAGAAAATGAACCATCTTACTTTGGATATCTGCAACATTAAAGTATTGGTGATGTTGGCAAGCAGCAGGTATATAATATCGTTAGGGTCTGTAGGGTAAATAATTCTATCATTCAGCTGAGGCCACCATAGAAATAGCTGCAGCAACATGATGTTTCAAATTGCTGGTGAATGTATTATACCCTCCTTTCCATTTTGTACTTTAATAACCATAGCAAGACATTACATAAGCTTGTGTTGAGTTGTTTCAGTATAGCTAGCTCCACAGCTGGAGAACAAGAATAAAAGGAAAGAAAAAAGTCTAAATTGCACTAGGTAGGCAGGCTATTACGTCACTCTAATCTATGAGTAGAATATTAACTGGCTTGAAATTTATCAAGGGGAAGGACATATAAAAACAATGTCTACTGGAATTAGAAGGATGTGCTGTTTTATACGTAATCTGAATGGATACACAATTGACTAACAGAAATTTTCTGCATGAATAGCTGTACTGCAGTTATTTTGTCACTGCACTGACTAAGAAAGAGTGAACTGCCTTCACTACTTTCTGTCAAAAGGTATATTTAATTATCTGCACATAGTAAAAAGGTGCAATTGCAAGAGAAAGAAAGCATTTACATGTATGGAAGAAGCCTCTAGGCCTTTTGTTCTGATTATGTTCAAAGAAATTTTAGTGATATGCTCAAAATGTGCTGTCTTTAAACGATGACATTTCAAAATGTTGTACATAAGAAAACTATAATAAAACTGTGATGTATTAAACTATATTACTATAAACTATTACTATATTACTGTTAACTATATTACTATAAACTATTACCTGTGTGACCTGGTGTAGGGAACCTGCTTTGGCAGAGGGGTTGGACTCGATGATCTCTGGAGGTCCCTTCCAACCCCTACAATTCTGTGATTCTGTGATATTCATGAAAAATGAGAGCCTTACAATGACAAGTAGTGGCTCCCCTGATTTTTATGAAATAATTCTGTAGAGACTTGCCAAGAGAGTTATGAACTTTAGATTCTTGGTTGCACTGAAGCGCAAAAGACATAACACCTGTTAAAATTGTGTGGGTATAACTATTTTTTGAAAAGAACACTTAGCTGATTCATCTTAAAAATTCTGAGATTTTTTATCCTCATCTAGCAAAGTAGTTCTCAAAACATTTAATTTTAAACACAGAAATACTGCTATGAATAGGGATGCCATTAGTTGGGGGACAGAAAACGTAGAATCTTGTAGGACTACTTTTTAAAAAATTGCAGAATTTCACTTGTACACTGTTTTCTCCACCTGCTCCGGCAAGTCTACCTTTCTTAATTAGAACAAAGGAATGGGGAATTCTTTCATCTATTTTAAGAAAAGGCCATGAGCATCAGAATTTGCTCACACCAGCTAGGGAACTTAACATTGAATAGAATTACAAATGCATAGCCACAGAAACTTGGCTCATCTCAAGAACAGGTGGACAACTTATTTTGGATGTTTTCTTGTAATAAGTTTAGCATCCTTTCTTTCACTCTTTATGTACACTTTATGTAATTTACACAAGTATTTTCACAGCTATGGATAGCTGACTTGGTAAACCCCGATTAGAGCTATCCTAAAGAATATTTATTAGCTTTATGATCTGTGAAAAAAGAATAAATAAATTAGGGAGAAGATTGGAGGGTAGTTGGTAACAATCTTCAGGTAAATGGGTCAGGAAGGATATAATCCTTTCCCAGGTTTGTGTTGAACACAAAAAAGCTTTAGTTACAACAGGAAAGCTTCAGACTAGATATAAAGATGTTAATGGCATGAGGAAGGAGGTGCTGAACATCTTGCTTTGTGCCTGACGTTGGAGATAGTAAGAAAAAAGTAAATAAACATTTGTCAGTACTGGTCTACTGGTGCTGGTTGGAGCACAGGAAGAATGAAGGAACTTTGAAGGTCTCTTCTAGGTAAACTGTGATAAAAGAGAAGACTGAAAAAGGAAGAAGAGCATCTTTATCAGAATGTGTTTACACCACAACAAGAATTTCTCTAATCATTTTTCCTCATATTTAGGAGAAAGTTAGAAAACATTTATGTTTTCATGAGGATGTGTGCCAAAATCCAGTCTCTTGGGCCTCCTAGCATCAGCTTATACTTAAAATGTAATTATTTGGTTAAAATCAACTGAGCACTGAGCTCCTTCAATCATTTTTGGAAATTTACTGGAAGGTATATTTGGCAAGTGAATATCAAAACTGCATATGTAGTTTATGAATTCTTGAAAATTTCACCTGTATTGAATAAGGACAGTTAGCAATGAATCTGTCAAAAAGATAACATACCATTTCACGATGTAGAAGAAAGACAGTACATTATCTCTAAAGGCCTCAAGCAGTTTTTACTGTTATGGCTGTTTAAAGGTTTGGGTGTTATCACTGTGTGCCACAAAGTAAGATCCAAAGTTTTTGTCTTTTATGTGGCTGACTGTAGAATGAAGTTTAATATTATATGACTGCAATTTAATAACCTACAAAAAATAGAAAGAAACTCCTCTAATTCATAAAAAAGTATGCAATCAAAATTTCAGAAAATCAAAGTTCTTAGATGCTTTTTAAGTGCTTTGAGAAAGTAGGTGTTCCTTGATACAACTAAGAAACAGCATTTTGAATGACCTTAACAACATTCACAGAGTAATCAAAGGGGAAACTTTGGGCTATCTGACAAAACAGAAACCACAGAAAGCTCCTCTAGTTGTAATGATTGTCTTGATAATTTACCCAATAGATAAGCCAGTAGATTTCAATTTCATGAGATTGAAGATTATATTCATTTGTAAGAAGCACATTTGCTCACTGGAATGGAAAGACCACTCAGTTACAGAAAATACCTACCAGACATCAAACATCTTGCCAAGGACTCGAAAAGTTACATATCTGTACTGTTTTAAATTTTGATAGCTAATCTGTCTGGATGGTTTGTAATCCTCTTTAATTTCTAAATACCCTAATTGAATAATCCACTGATGTTCTGTTCATCAGGGTGTACAAATGCCACAATGCCTCTTTCTCTGCTCCTGTCAAACTAGGAAACAGTTTAGCAACAATATAAGCAGAAAAGACAGGCATGGCAGATGGTGAATGAATAGCGAATAACCTCGTGGCAGATTTTTTGAAATACCAAGAATTAATGACTATGGATATTTCTTCTATCCTTCCAGTTTCATGTTCAGACCTCTATGGAAAATTTAGAATTACCCTTGCAGATTTCTTACTTCATTTTGTCTTCATGTGGAACACACAAGGAGTGCTCTGAAAGTAATGCTACCTATTTCATTACATTGGCTCACAATGTCAGAGGTGGATGTTGGTGGTATGGCAGTAGAGGCTGACCCTTCCCACCAACATTCCATTACATTTTGTTGCCATTCAACACATTGCAGCAGAGGAGCAATCTGACAAAATGGCATCTGACGTGGAAGTACATAAGAAGTAAAGGTGTTTAATTGAATTTTCCCCGTGGAAAAAAAGGCACCCATTGACATTCATTGATGCATGCTGAACATTTCTGGAGACCCAAACAGTGGATGTGAGCACAGTGAAGTGGTGGGTGGTGCATTTCAGCAGTGGCAACAGTGACATGAAAGACAAGCTATGTTCCAGGTGGCCATGTTGATTTTTGTGAGAGCAGCATGCAGGCTCTTGCTCATCTCTGGCAAAAATGCATAGCTAATAGTGATGACTGCATAGAAAAATAGTTCGTTCCTCTGCCAGACACTTACTCTGTATTCAAAATAACCTTAAAAATAAAGTTCAGGAAGGCTTCAGATGGCTTTTTTTTTGTGATAGACATATGAAAACAGATTCTGTGCTCAGTTTCTAGACAGCCATCTAGTCAAAGGTATCAATTCAGGGATGTGTGGTTTAATTCATTCTGTAAGTTACTTACATATAAACATTAAACATAAAAGCACATACAGCACTTTTATTTCCTCCGATTTTTAAAATGGTCACAAAATACTCAAGGTGAGTCTAACCCTTTAGTTCATTATTGTAACACATTAAAGGGGGTAAGTATGTTTTACTGTCTCAATCACAGCTTCAAATTTCTGCAAGTGATATTTCTGCAAGTGATATGCATGCGACATCCCTCCTCAGCTGTGAAGTCACCCCTTCCTGATAAAAATCCTAATATTAAGCTCAGTATGAAATCTGACAACTTAAGATTTTTGTTTCTGACTACCAGAAATAGAAATCAAATATAATTTTTATGTTAATGTTATTCCCTTTATTTAAATTATGTTTGTGTAATTTATCTGCCAGTTAGGCCTTTTTAATGAACAATGAAGTAAATGGGAGAATTGCCATAGATTTAAAGGATCCATTAACCAGACCATTAGAGATATAATAAATAAAAAGCTCTTATTAATAAGAATGTGAAATACTGAAAATAATCCCTTCTCAAACTCCACTTGTTCACAATTAGTGATTTGTAATAAAAACTACGCAACTTTCTTGCGTGGAACTTCTGTAGTGCATCTTTTTAGGTCCAAGTCTAAACCATTTCTGAGCTCCAGAGGAGGAGTTTCAAGGTCTGGATCAGATAAAACAGAAACATACTCAACTAAGAATAAACTGGTATAAAAATGACTTCATGAGTCTATGTCTCCACTCACAAATTTATGAGAATAGCTCTGAGACTAAAACTAAGGACCAAACTGCTCAGGCCAATCATAAGCCACAGATTCTTCTAAACACCATTCAGAGTGCTGAATTAAAGTGTGAGGTATAAGTTTTCCCATTCAGAGTTCAGGATTTTTGCAAAACAGATGACTACTGTGATGGAACTGTGTAGCTGTTACCACACCTGGAGCTTTTTTGTTAAATGTGGGTCTTTGCTATATCTTTAGCTGATAATCCTAACAGAAAATCCATTTATTTTGGCACATTTTCTGGAAGGATTGTATAA